ATTTTAAAAGCCACTCAGGTTTTAAAAAGCCTCTTTAACGAGTTCCTCAAAGAAAAGATGCAGTTAAGGATTTGTAATTCCCCTCATGCTGCCAGAAACCACAAACGTTATGTAAACAACCCGAGTTATCCTGAAAGTTTCATTTTATCGGGCTGTAGGTGTGGTGGCTCACACCGACTGCAGACTGAAACTCTTCCGTACTTAGTGCTATAATTAAAACTTTATTCAGTCATTTGTGATTTAGCTTCAGAATAAATAAGTGACGTCTGGATGAGGGAAAGTGTCACCAAGCTGAGACTGAATTCATCCCAGATTTCTCAGATTCTTTCCTCTCTTCAGCTTCTCCGTCCCGCTGTCTGGTTTGTCCCGAGCCGAAACGAAGGCGATACAAGCTCAGTCATGTTTTAAAGGCAGAGACGTTTTACTGGACTCACTGGCACACCCTGACTGGGACGACTGGAGCTCCTCCCGGGATGCTAAGAGTGGTTTCACACCTGATAGTCCGGTAGAGTCGGTTCAATTGGGGACCAAAATTGCAACATTTGCTACATTTTCTGAGTCAAACCAACCAAACCATTTGAAACACTGGTTCCCCTCCTCGCCTGTGGGGGCACTGCACCAAGAACCACTGATGAAACAAAGACACTAGCAAATGAGCGCAAAACTTTGTCAATAAACACAAATTTGCAATTGTAGTGCTTAAATTAAATAAAGAAAACAATTAAAATCCAGCGTGAAGAGGCGTGTTCACATGGTAAGTTATTAAAAACACATGCAGCGCCACAATCCTCCAACTACTTCCTGTCATCTTCATGGTTTGTGACAGATGAAACATCTGGTTGTTGATCATGTGCAAAAAAAGAGTTTAAATGGTAATAATGTGAAATAAACCAATTTCAATGTGGGCAAAAAATGAATAAATAAATAATAATAAAAAAAAACGTATCACAGCACCAGAAACAAGTTCTCTCTAAACTGGTGTGTTTCCATTAAGCAAATTTAGTTTAGAAATGTTAAATTGATCAATTATATGGTCAATGACAAAATGGTTGTAGGAATTCCCTTTTGTCATTTCTCCCGCTAGCGCTAAGCTAGCATGTTTGCTTTGGTTGTTTTTACCCAGAATGCTCTGCACTGTAGTCCACTTCCTGTTTTGGGAGCAGCCTCTGGTCTGCTTGGCGTTCACATATAAATTCAAACCACACGAGTTTAATTCAACCAAACTGTCACCGAGGTTTGGACCAGAGTTCTGGTTAGTTACGTGTTCACACCTCCCCAAACGGACCAGACTTTCTGGACTGAAGTTTGACTAGAGCAGAGTAAAAAGGACTCGTGTGTGTGTGTGTGTGTGTGTGTGCGTTTCAGTTTTGTACCTTCTCAGCCTCTTGGTTGCAGCGCTCGGTCCGGACCGTGAATTTGCGGACTTCCTCCTGGGATTTGGACGGGTCAGCCTTGGCATGCGTTTCCCTGGAAATGGCCGTCCACTCCTCCTTCTTGGCCTGATGGTAGCTTTTCTTACTGGACTCCACCTTGACGGACACAGATTTGATTTTCGATTAATTGTGCGGCTTTCATGCAAACTCATGTAAAAGACGCTTTTCATCATTTTAAATGAGAAAATAAAAATTTTGTTACCTGAAATGCAACAACATAGCATTTCTTTAGTGAACACTTGATAATTTGCAGCAAAGAATGAATCTCCAGCTAAAAAATACTTCTAACGTGAAAAACTCAACTCTTCCTGCTTCATTACAGTGTAGGACTGATCTGGTGATTATTTTTCAGGTTAACTAATTCATAATTTGATAGGAAAATGTGCTTCGTAGAGAATTTGTTAACAGAACTTTAACCAGGTGAAGCCAAATCTGCCACTAGAATAGTTCTGGGTGAAACATATTTACAGACAAAGTTTTTTTCCTTTTAAATGTAAAATCTAATTTTTTTTAGTAGATTTTTGGCTTAATTACTGCTCTGAGTGTGTTGTTTTTTCAGCAAATGCCCCTTTTTTGAGTCTGTATACTCCCGTTAACTAATCGATTACTAAATTAGTTGATTTCAACTATCGATTAATCATGATTAAAATGATTAATCATTTTCTAGAGATTCTATTTAGAGTATAAATGGAAGGAACCAGTCATGAATGGATGGGAAGTAACAGAGGGACTGTACAATAGGAATAGAAAGAAGGATTGATGGACAGATGGATGAAAGGACGGGTGGACAGACAGAAGCACCTCTTTCAGCTTGCGGACCCAGGGTTTCTGAGCTTTCCTGAACCCGTCGTCTGCGTCCTTCGTCTCCCTGAAGCCTCCCATCATCTGCTTGTGGAAAGCGTCCTTCTGCCAGTAACGGACTTTCTCGCTGTCCTCGCCCGCTAGCCGCTCCCGCAGCTCCATGTGCAGCTCGCTAAGGCGGTCGGCTGCCTGCATGAAGGCGTGCCACGCTTTCTCCAGAGTCCCGTACTGAGGGCCTGTTGGAGGAAAAACCGCTAAGCTAACGGTTTGACTTTTTGTGCAATTCTGAACAAAGGAGGTAAAAGTTTCCATTAATTAGTGGTGGACATCGTTAACTACAACATTAGCTGTTTTAACCCTAAAGCACTAAATATAAGCTTTGCTAGCATTAAAGCGCTACACCAACACAGCATTTAGCATAAGCTAACGCTAAAGCACTGGTGATATGGATTTAAAGTTTCATCACAATATTTTGTGGTATACTTATGATAATACTGACAATAAAAAGTATTGCTTCTTTAATAGGTAACTGTAAGGCTGTGAGTGAACAACAACTACAACTCTTGAAAAACATTCCCATTCGATTCTTTACAACACCATAGTTACATTAAAAAAGTGTGATCTGTATCACTAAACTACACAAATAGTCTTATTTTCAAATGTATTAATAGATCCGTAGTCTCACTGAGCCAACAGTGGAGAAAACAGTAAAAATCCCAACAATACAAACTGTTCTGCACAGTTCTAAAAGGAAAATCATTTTAAGAAATGTATCAAATTATAAACACTGTGATGACTTTATCAGGAAAAATTTAAGTTAGGGAAAGCAAAGTTAGCAAAAAGAGCTAAGCTAAAATTTAGCCCTGCTATTAGCACATTACTGCTGTTAGTAATTGGAACTTAACTCCCAGTTTTCTGACATCTAGAACTACAAACTCATCATTGCTACTGAGATGACGGACCTTTTTCAACGATGCCCCTCCACCTTTTGGACCAGTCGCTCAGCTGAATAGCGTAGCTCTTCTCGATCTTGGCTCTCTCCTGGAAGCAGCTAACGAGCTCGTTGCACAGCCGGTGGCCGTCATCGATCCGCTTCACCGTCCTTTTATAGTTACCCGGCTGCAGAAGCACAAAGACACAGAAATAAAATCACATAAGGAAGCTACAGTTTACGCAAAACCCAGTGACTTTAGCTCAGAAGCTAAAGGTGACCCACAATGCTTCCCTGAACAGGTTAGCATAGGTCTATGGTTTATGCAAAACATGTTTTTTTTTATTATGCACAAAGTCATTCTTCTATCATGAGATTTTACGCTCTCCAACTCAACATTTACACTCACGCCTGAAAGTGGCTGTAAACAGATGACCAATTATAGAACCGTACTTCTTTGAAAAGCAGAAGTGGAGCCTCCTACACAACCAATAGGAATGCATCAAGGAGTTTCTGGATGTCAACAACAAAACACTTGTCTTTTCCAGCAGCCATTGTACAGCGCATCCAGCAGTAAAACCAGCTGACCAAATGTGCTTGGGTTGCTAAGTAACGGGCAGAGCTGGGTTCTGGTTGCTAGGTAACGGCACAGTGCCTGGGCAATGTGATTTAACAAGTTTTTGAAACGCATCATTTTAAAGACACCAAAAAATATTGATTAATTGCCAATTTAATGACTGAGTGAGTTTTCTAAGCGCTTAGGTGGTTTTTTTTAGACGCAGTAGAAACCCAAACGGAAGCATAAAAACGTACAAAATATGATTTTAGCATGACAAACAAAGCAAAGCAAGGCAGCGAGAATGTGTCCTGGTATTAAATGTGTATTATTTGTACCTCCCAGAAGCTGTCGGAGCTGCCGAGGTCGCTGACGTCTCCGTTGGAAGACATGTTGGGGTCGGCCCTGCAGCACGGAATGATGGCGGCGGCACACGAGACTGCACAGAACGAAAGGGATTCACAGATTCAAAAGCAGCACATCACCTGGGAAGAGCTCTCTAATGCTGAGCCTTTAAACAGAACAACTTTAAAACAGAAGATCAACCTGTAGGGAGTTTCAACATAAAGAAACCGTAAAAAAGCTCTAAATTCAAAAACAAACCAGCAGATTGTACCAAAAAAAAAGTCATTTTCCAATCAATACAAGCAGTTTAAAACTCCTTAATTAGGGTGAACATAACTGTCAAATTGCTGTGATCCAATATTCCTAGAAGGTTCCTTGCATCAGTGTTGAACTTTTTCACATCTTGTCACATTTTAACCACAAATTTCAATGTATTTCTAATTTGACAGGCAAAAACAATGTGGTAAATTACTGAAAAGAGAAAAAAAATAAAATATTGATTATGTTTTATATGGTGTATGTCTCTAACAGAGGACTTAAGATGATTTCGAAACAAATCTATGCCACAATGTTCAGACTTTTATTTTTAAAATGGTAGTAATGCGCAATTTTCCCGTTTTGGAGAGACGCCCATTTGTGGATTTTTCTCTGGAGTGAGAAATTATTTAAAGAAAGTTCATGGATTTGTTTTGTAGAGTACATCTAAAATAATAGAAAGAAAATGCAATTTGTGATGCTGAAACAGTTGTTGGGATTTTAAAGCAGCCAATCAAGGAGCGGCATTAATTTTCCTCGATGCCGATTGGCTGCAACCCACACTGCAAAAACACAAACTCTTACCAAATCATTTTTGGTCTTTTTTCCAGTGCAAACATCTCAATACACGTGAAATAAAGCAAAACTAACTTGATAACTAATGCATATTGAGGCATATTGGGTGTTTAAACCATTAAAGGCATTTTTAAAAAGGGATCTTAAGTATTTGATAATTTCTGCAAAAATCAGAAGAGCGTCACCACAGAGACTCTCAAAGCTTATCGTTTGCATGATAGTACAACTGGTGCCTTTGACTGATGCTAATCCTAATCTAATCCCTGCTCAGAACACAATCCTTTTGGAAGAAGTAGCATTTCTGTTTCTGTTCATTTTCCTTCTGGCTTTAAGCTTCAGTAAATATCTGTGTCTGTAGGAAAACACAGAAGCAGCATTCAGCCTCTATGCACCACAAATCTGGACCAAACCTCCAGAAAACCACAACACAGCCGAAACAGAGTTTTTTTTATTTATTTATTTATTTAGAGTTGCTTTTAAACCATAATAATGGAACATTGATAAACATATTTGATGTGTATGGAGGATACATAATGTAATGTCTGTTATTAGCTTTGATAATTGTTGACAAGCTTTGGACACAAATTAGCCAAGACAAACCGCTAATCTGAGCTAGCCTTAAAAACAAATTATCCAAAACCAACTCTTAGGTTTCTTCAGGGTCGCTGTAATTCAGACAGTTACAAGAGCCATTTCCTGCCAACAGCCAGCTACAACAAATCTTTGAATAATCCGAATTGATATGAGTTACAACATTTAATTTCCCTTTGGGATCAAATTATCTACGGCCAACGGTTAAGATGAGCTAGCTATCTTGGAATACAAATTAACCGGGGCCGACATCAGTTAGCTACCTGAACAGAGTCATGACTTCAATCCTTTCAAATTGATCAGTTCCAATTTTCAGTTGGTGCAGGAAGATAATCTGCAGCAATTTACTCAATTATAGAAACAACAAAGGCTCCCAGTCTTTCCGTTTCTCTTTCTTCTTAAAGCTACTGTCTGAGGTGAATAGTTTTCGCATGAGATTGCGTTCTGCAAGGCTCAACTTGACTTCCCAGTTGTTTCACAACGCTCCCTCTCACTGTAAATAACTGCGTCGGTGCAGGGAGCAGGCCTCGGTGCAGCAGCGTAACCTTGGTGAGGATCTGCAGGGAGCGAAGCGCCGGCGGCTGTAAATAAACGCGGATGCTCCTTATGAGTTCTGCTACGACAACAAAAGCAGTCGGCAGCAGAAAGAATGTGGCACCACAAGCGAGAACCCGTGACTCATGGGCAATCATAGGTGTGTCTGTATCTGCGGAGACATGTGACGTCTAAGATTATCCCTAAAAGCTCAGGCTGATATTCAGAGACGGAGGGTAAATCTCACAGACCCACGGCCCAGTGGGTGTTTTTCCACAGATGGGTGTAAAATTTGCCAACAGCTGCAGAGACCTCTCCCTGCAACGTGCTGGAACCTGACGATGAGCTACTGCCTCCACCGTGGGTCACTAATCAAACGTTAAAACTCATTCACAACCACTGGAAGACATTACAAACTATTATGCAACAGTGGGTATGTTTGTATTAATAGCAAATTAATCAAAGGGAGCTAGAAAAACAGGACTGAGCAAATCAGAGCCATTATAGACTTTTAAAAAGGTGTGGGAGTGTAAACTGACTGCTGTTCACTCATTTTTAATCAAGCAGGTTTTATTTAGGTGACTTTAAATCAACCGAGGCCGACAGCTAATCTGATCTGGGTAGATAACTCAGATTATTTGTTTGCTTCAAAGTGTAGCTAGTTCATCTCAACGGTTGGCCTCAGCTCATTTGTATTCAAAGATAGAAAAATCAGATTAGCTGTTTGCTTGAGCTAATTTGTATTCAAGACTAGCTAGGTTTAGATTAGCTGTTGAATTCAGCTAATTTTTACTAAAATTAGCCGAGTTCAACAGCTAATTTTACTACCTAGACTACCTGGACTACGAAGTCCAGGTAGTTGTTGGCATCAGCTAATTTGTATTGGAAGCTAATTTGTATTCAAAGCTAGTTTGTACTCAAAGCTAGCCAACTCCAAGTAGTTGTTTGCCTAAGATCATTTGCATTCAAAGTGGACTGGCTTAGAGTAACTGCTGGCCTTCACCAATTTGTTTTCAAAGCCTTGCTAGCTTGGATTAGCTGTTGACTTCAGTTGTATTGCAAAATTAGCCATCGCTGGGTAGTTGTTGGCATCAGCTAATTTGTGTTGAAAGCTAGCTACCTAAGATTAGCTATTATGCTCAACTAGATTGTATTCAAAGCTAGCCAACTCTGGGTAGCTTGCCTCAATCTGCATGCAAAGCTAGCTAGCTCATGCTAGGTTTAAAATCCTCTTTTCAGAAGAAAAGGAAGTTTCCTTTTCAGTTTGAAATCAAGATCCCAGAGTCTGGAGGAAAACAGACATCAAGGCTGTGATCAAAGCTGCCTGGGTTTCCTCTCCACCTCAGCAGAACCACAGGCGGACCTCCATGCTACGCTGCATTGATGCAGTAACTCGTGCAGAAGAATCAGATAAAAACTACGTACAGTCTTTATTCATGTAAACCGTGTTCAAACATGCCAACACATGGATTGGTGTTTGAATTTGGCCTTTATCATGGAGGATTCCTCCAACAGAAAGCAACACAAATGAGGCACTGATCTGCCTGATCTCAGAGATTTTCCAGAGAAAATCTGAATCTGAAATATTTTCTAAGAAACCAGATGAGCAATCTGTGGAATATGAATGATAAAAGTGACTGAATCACTGAGGTTGGTTAACACACACACCTCTGAATCAGTTTAAACACAAAGAAGAAACTAAATAATATGAAAATGTATCCAGTCTTTTTGCAAAAGTTCAGATTTTCTTAATTTTAAGACATAAAATAGAAATAAAATAGTGGCTCTTAAAAATTGCAGCTCTAAATGAGTTTCATTTAGCTGGTCCAGGGGGAAATTGGCTCTTTCGATGGTAAAGGTTGCAGATTCTTTAATTAGAAAACAAGTTGCATGAAATTAAACTCTGTGTTGGCTGAGAAACTAAAATAACTGTGTCACATGTTGCTGCAACATCTGAGACCAACAACCTTCAAAAGCTGAAGTAGCGACACTCAAATGTGTTATTTTCTAAACTGAAAACATTTTTTCTTTTAAAAGTTTTTCCATTCTTAAATGCTCTAAAAGTTGGTTTGCTACAAAAACACATCAAGTACAGAAAATCCTTGATTGGGCCACAGCTGTATCCATAGATATCAATAAGACGCTCAATTTATCTGATTCTTATCAACTGACAAGGTATTGATTAACTGATAGGAAGGCAGATAAACAGACTCAATTGTTTGTTTTTTTGTGGAATAAATGTTTACTCATCGGTTGTTTCTGTCACATCAAACCCAAAACAAATGAAGGACTTTAGACATTAAACCAAAGTTTAAATCCTGTCTGCCATGGAAACTTTAAAAAAAATAATTTCTGGAGTCCCAAGTTCCCATTCAAAGTTTTATAATTTTGAATTCTTGTTTTCTTCTGACATTAAAATATTATAATTGATACAACTTAAATTTTGTGTTTTAAAAAACAAAAAGGAAAACGGGACATCTAAAGAGACGGATGTTCCAGAAATTTCATGCATTTTCTGGAGATGCTGAGAGGAAAATGTTTCGTTTTTGACTTTACAACCTAATTATGGAATAAAATTCTCCAGTTTTGCTCTTCCACACAGTTTGATTATTCAGAACAGTTAATAAATATTCACACTTCTGCAGATGTATCAATGAAAGGTCCATCAACAAGTCGTATAAAAACCAAGAGGAGACATGCTAACGCTAGGCTAACACGTCAGCTAACAACTCTTTGTGAAGCAAATTAGCCTTTAAGTTTGTTTTTATTTCACAGAAAACAAAATATTTGTAATTAAGACTAATTACAAATAAATTTCTGAAACTTGCACAAACATTTGAGAGTCAAGGCAACAACCTTATCTGCAAGAGCCTGACACACTGCAAAAACAAAATCTTACCAAGTATTTTTGGTCTAGTTTCTAGTGAATATTTTAGCATACTTAAAATAAGAAAAACTAACTCCGAAGAAACTTCTGAGCAAAACATAGGAGCTTGTTTTAGGTAAATAATTCCTTAATATTGACAAAAAAGTACTTATGCCACTGGCAGATTATTTCACTTTCAACATGGTAAAATGTTTTGCTACAAGTGAAATAATCTGCCAGTGGAACTAATACATTTAATTTTTACTTAAAACAAGATCCTATATCTTTCTGAACAGTTGCATGTGAGATAGTTCATTTGAAATAAGACAAAACTAAGATATTTACACTGGAAACTAGACAAAAATACTTGGCAAAATTTAGTTTTTGCAGTGTAATTACTAACCTACAGTTGAGCCAACACTTTAACAAATGTTGGTAATGAAAGAAATAAAAGCAGAAACATGAATTTGAGTTTGTACTTTTTGTCATACGCTGCAAAAACACTTAAAAAGTTAGTTGTAAGTGAGTTTTATCTTATTTAAAAAGTAAAAACAAGAAACTGGACCAAAAATACTCGACATTTGGTGTTTTGCAGTATGAAACGCAGTTTCATGTTGAATCTATGGAATAATTGTTACAGTAATTTTTAAACCACCGCCGATCAGAAGAGCAAAGAGGATCAGAACCGATTCCAGGTCACAATCTGGAGATCAGCCGGCTGAGGCGAGAGAGAAAGCTGGCGCAGACGGAGATTCTTGATGCTTTATTGAAAAGTGGGTCAGGCCAGTGAGGAGGAGGAGGAAGGCGCGACGGACCGGACCTCATAAGCTCCGGTGTCAAACTCACGACCATTAATCTGATTAACGTAAACGAACATCTCCCCTGCCCTAAAGCTGCGCTGCATTCCAGAAAAGGCTTCAGTATTTACAGATACGGCGACCTGGAGGCTTAAAAATACCCAGAAAAGCAAACAGCAGATGGAACCCGTTTGCTGCCGCCAACAGAACCAGCTGTGGAGCTTGTGAAATTAGAGGCTCCACGTCTGAGGAGAGATGATTGCCGGTGGCAAAAATACTCCAAACTGAACCCTAAATTCAGGCTTCGCTCCAATCTGACAAGAGCGACTGAAGCCGAACATTAAAAACGTTTCATCACAACGAGCAGAAAACCAGAGCAGGCGATAAATTATCAGAGGTTATCGCGATAAACGATTATATTGGTGTTTTGAGACCATTTTCAACATAATGCTAATAATGCATCAATGAACTTTAAATTCTAATCAATATTCAATTCTAACTGTAAGACATTTTAAATATCCAAAATAAATAAAAAACAACAAATATAATGAATTATAAAAACACCAAACTGAAGATTTATCATCCAGTTTTTGGTAGAAAGAGAAAAATGCTAAATCATGCAAATGGGAATTATTGAGCTAATTTTAATTTAATGCAACGGGTCTACACTGCAAAAACAAAATATTTCCAACTATTTTCGGTCCAGTTTCTAATAGAAATATCTTACTACACTTCAAATAAGGAAACTAACTCAAGTAAGTTTTCAACAAGATGTAGGAGCTTATTTGGAGTCAATTATTCCTTAATATTTATCAAAAAGGATTTATATGACTGGCAGATTATTCACTATACAGGAAAATATCCAAGATATTTGACTAGAAATGTACTGAAATTACTTGGTAACATTTTGTGTTTTTGCAACGATAGAGTAACTCATCACTGTCTGGTTAAGATCAATTTAAAGCTGTGATTTCTTAACATGGTTTTTAATCAGAAAACTGAAAACTCAAAGTGCGAGCTGCCCCTCCCCCACCTGCTGCTGCTGCTCACAGCAAATCAACAAGCTGAAAGAAACAATCCAAACTTTTCCCCCGCAGCTGAAAACGACAAATCAAACCGGTTGGAGAGATTTCTGGACAAAAGTAGCTCCAGCAGTTCTAAAACTGCTCAACATGATGCTGCCACCGCCATACTTAGCATTTGGGATAGTGACTTAACACTTGGTCATTAATGCTAAAAATGAACGTCTGAGCATTTTCAATCTGTTTTCTGGCTGCTTATGTTCCTTTTGGAGTGATGGCTTCTTCCTGCCTGAACGGCCTTTCAGCCAGAATCGACACAGGACGAGTTTCTCTAAGCAAATTCTGGCAGTTTGTCACAAAGTATTTTGCATTTTTTCTGGGGTTGATGTGCCTAATTATGTTCATTTTCCTGAACTAATGCTGGTCGTTTTCAACCTAAATCAAAGTCTGACTATAACAGGAAAAGATGTATTAAAACATAGGGAATGTTTTAATACAAGAGACGCGTACTTACAGGTCTACTTGCAGAGAAAATGACAAAGTACTTTATAATCTTGAGTTAGAGTTTGCTGATTAGCAAACGGCAAACTAGCATCACAGTTTGTCTTGGCAGATCGACAGGTGAGTCACTTTAAAAGTAAACCAGCTTAAAACTGAAAATAAACGTCTGTTACCCCCAGAACAGGTTCTAGTTATGATGCCGCAGAGGTTAGTCAGGAAAGACAAAAGGTACGTTGTTTGAAAACTGTAGCTGTGCGAGAGGTAAATAGTTCACATTTCTCAAAGTTACACAGACTCAGAATTACAGGTCCTTCAAATTATTCACATTCTGTTATGTTAAAAACAACTTTCAATGATAAATCAAGACATTGGAGATGCTTTTCTTCAGCACTGACAGAATCTGGTCAAAATTAATCATATGAATAAATGGAGATAAATAAATACAGGATAAATGGAGGACTGGGCAATACGGCTAAAGAACTTATTACAATAATTACTGATTAGTTTGTTTCAAATATCTGAAATATTGCCAACCTGGTGGCTTTTATCCACAGTTAACGCCACAACGTTGGTTTCTATTTTTCAGCAGTTATGAGGCACAGTTGGGAAACTTGAAACTGCTGCGTCACTTATACTCAGCAGGTTGTTGCTAGGCAACCAAAGTTTGGGGGGGAACTTGAAACTGTTACCCAGCAGGTTGTTGCTAGGCAACCAAAGAGCGAGTGAGTGAGTTGATTCCACAGTGAGTAAAGTTGGGAATGCTATGCGGTTCTGGATCGAAGTTCAGTGAATATTCCATCAGCTGTGCGATCTATTGATATTGACGACGAATCCATCGCGATATATCTTATTGATTTATTGTCCAGTCTTGGATAAACGTAGAAGAAAACCTGTTAAAGGTTGGAAAAGTCTCCATAACCGCGCTATATTCAGGTATTGAACATACATAGCTGTTTAATAAAAACAAATAACTCTACCATATTGTATGAAATGATTTTCATGGTACACATGAAAAGTTTTCATCCAAATGAACACACCAATCTGCCCCTGGACTTTGTTTTTAACATGCCAAACCCATAGGGGGCAGAGTAGCGCAAAGCTAAAACCAATGTAGGCCAATCAGATCGCTTCAAAACAACCACGACTTCCTGTTAGGAAGTAAACATGGTGCCAGGAAATTCATTTGTGTGGACAGATATGTAGGTTAAGCCACTTTTAAACAGCGTATATAAAGATAAAAAATATAATAACATATGCACCATTTGCCACCATTTCCCCATCTACACATGCAAACAAGTACAGAGTTCTCTCAAATCTCCACTTTCATAAATAATCGTTTTAGTGACAAATTAGAATTTTTGTGTGGATGAAAGGCCAAAATGCATAAACATGTTTTTGTTTTCCCAGATACCTGGCTGTGTGTGGATGTGTATGGACTATGTATGGACAGCTATGTGTGGACGAGGTCTTGATCACTTTGGATCTCCAACAAATACATCCAACTTTGTGGTCAGAAAGTGACGAAACTTATTTTTGTAAGGAACAAGAAGACATATGTTCACCATAAGATGCACCTTGTTAGATTTAAAACATCACATATAAATAAAACAAGTAGAAATAAACAGTAGTCATGCAACACAAACGTTAGCATGCTGTAGCCAAGTGGATGCCAAAGTCAAGCAGGACTTACCTTATCAGAGACGAAAATACAAATGGACAGATGTCCAAACAGAAGACGGCCTGTTTCTCCAGCAGCCTGAGAGGCAAAGCGGTCGGGACAGAAGGAGGAAGAGTCCACAGAGGCAGCGGAGAGAAAACAGAGGGTTGTTAGCGAAGCAGCAAGCGGTTAGATTAGCCCAGAAGGAGCCGCTGCTTTATGGCCCGGTGCCGGCTGGAGGGTGGCACATTCTGGGAGGCCGAGCGAAATACCACACATGAAGCCTGGAGCGGAAACTTAATGAAGCAGCCAAAGAGCGGCGGAGCTTAGCAGCAGAGGTCAGAACGGCTAGCTCACGCCTCTGGTACAGCAAACCTGCAGGAGGACCACTTCAGGTTGGAAAGAGAGAGAGTCAGCCATCTTTTATTAAAGCGTTCAGCAAAAACAGATTAAAAACCAGACCTGCAACTAGTTACATTTACTTTGTTAATTCTTCTTTTTGGGAGTGTTTTTACTACACCTTTTACTTTTACTTTATTTATTATGAAGTATTTCTACTTTTACTTGAGTAAATTTTTGGATTTTCTACCAACTGAATTAAAAACCAAACATGTTTTAACGAAAAATTCACCAGACACAGACGCACACCTGCTGTTTCTGTTAAAGTTTCAAAAGTTTTTCATTAAAAGAAACCGATTTGGAAAATGTTTCGTTTGCCTGATTTTTTATTTTTGTTACTCATTTGAATTATTGTCATTGAAGTCCTTAAAATACCAAAATTTCAACTTAACTTTATGTTTTGATTCGTCTGATGATGTAATTTTAATATTAAATGATTGATAATTTGATCAGCACTTGACTAGTTGGCATGTTTGTTTTTCAAACGGCTTCATAAAACAACAGGAAAATAGACCCAAAAAAACCAAAACCATGACTGCTGATTTAATTGAAGTGAACTTTAAATAAATAAAAAGTTCCTTCCCATCAGAGCAAGACAACACACACATCTGCATTATTGAACAATTCCCTTTTGCCCACAGATCAGTGAAGCTCAACTGAGTCGTTCTGCCTGCAGCCCGGCGCTGACAGGGAATCAAACGAGAGAAGAAGAAAACACAGCCGACTCAGCACAGCCCTTGAAAGATGTACTCTCTTTCTTCCCACACACACACACAGCTGTTCCTGAAGCTCATCTCTGGCCAGAAACGCATCACTGGAGCCACTGTGGGCCGGTACCGCCTCCGGCCCGGATAGACTCAACCTGCTGCGGCTGCCAGAGATTAGAGCAGCTCCTGAACAGCCATTCTCAGACAGACATGAGATTTTAACCCTCAAACTGCAAAAAAAAAGAGCAAAAAACAAGTATTTCTGTCTAGTACAAATATCTTAGAACGCTTGAAATAAGACAAACTTACAAGTAACTTTCCAGCAAGAAAAGAAAGCTCGTTTTAAATCAATAATTCCTTTACATTGTTGAAACAGTATTATTATTCAACTTATAGCAAGACATTTTCCCTTGTTTAAGTGAAATTAACTTCCAGTGGAACTAGAACTTTCTCATCATTATTAAAGAGTTATTGACTTACGTTCTTATATTTTGCTACAAAGTTGCATGCAAGTTTGTACTAAGACTTTCACTAGAAACTAAAAATGCTTGATAAGATTGTGTGTTTTTGGTAGAACCAGCTGGAATGTGCCGGCGCTCTGCTCGGGTTGCTAGGTAACGGGGCTGGGCTCTGCTCGGGTTGCTAGGTAACGGGGCTGGGCTCTGCTCGGGTTGCTAGGTAACAGCGCAGTGCCAGTTGAACGTGACTCAACAATCTGGAGGTTTTTGAAACAGTTCATTTTCCACACAAACTTGTTACTTGTAAGTTACTTAAATGTTTTCCAAGACATTTTCAATAGAAACTAAACCAAAAATACATGGTAAGATTTTGTAGTATAACAGGAGAGGGTATAAAGAGCATCATATTGAAATTAGAGCTGAAATGATTAATTGATTACTGAAATAATTGTCAAATAATTTTGTAATCGTTAATAGTTAATTAGAGTATACAGACTCAAATAAAGGCAATTTGCTGAAAGAACATCAGAGCAGTTTTTTTTTATCAGATTAATCGTCAGAATAAAATAATCGTTACTGGCAGCCCTGATTTAAATGTCATTCCATCTTTAAACATGAAAAACAAAACCCTATGCAGTTTTTATCTGCATGCAAAATTACAGTCAGACTGTTGCACACTGGTTTGTTTATGGCATGCTTCAAATAAAATGCAAATTTCACAATGAAATGAAATACATTCATGCCAACAGGATAACAGGATTTTTAATGTTTTGAAGCAACAGAAACATCGGATGATCTGATAAAAAAAGAGCAGGAAAACAAACTGATGTTTGATTTAAAATGAAGCCTAAATCAGGGGTGTCCAACGTGCGGTTCAGGGGCCAGTTGTGGCCCTTGGATTGCTTCTGTGCAATCATCATACAAATGGACATCATACAAATGATGTCCAACATAATTTTCTAACAGAAAAATGTAAAGTACAACACAAAGTATTTGTCTTTTTATACTAAAGTTTTAACAAAAGTTAAAACCAAGTTTATCCAGAAACTTTAATGAAAAGCTAACTTTGCACAACTCAAATCAGCTTTTATTATTTCTTACACTTGGTTAAATGTAGCAAAAATTTTGATAGAAAGTGACCCAAATCCTGTTTGTATTACTGAAAATACCTCTATTCAGTCAAGCTCAAAAGAAACTGAAGGATTTATTAAGAATCTACGACGCATGTTTGAGCCTTAAAAAACTTTAGATTTCAGCCAAAAAACAAGGAAATATCAGAGACCCAAAAGTTAGAGGTTTGCAAGGAAAAAAAAGTTGAGATTTTGAAATTAGTGCCATAAATCTTTTTACAAAAGAAACTTGAAAATTTCTGACATCACAAAATTTCTGAGTTTTTGGCAGAAATTTACTCCTTTTTTCCCCCACCTACAATATGATGCACTGTTGTAAAAATCCCGTTCAAGTTTTGGATTTGATTTTAGGTTTTTTGGTCAGCGGCTATTTTGGAGTTGACAATTTTGGCCCACATGGCAAAAAGTTTGTACACCCCTGCTTTAAATCTAGACATCTATGTTGAGTTGAACTTTAACCCGTTTTCTCAGTTAGCTTTGTAACTGTGGCAAGTGATGTAACTGTTAAAGGCCACAAATCACGATGGAGAACAACAACAAACACACAGAAAGCCTTTCTCCAGCCGTTAGCAGAATAAATCCCTCAGGGAGATTTAAAAAGATCTGCGGCGGCACAAAGCCTTCCAGGTTTTTTTAGCTCATTGTTTTTATTTTCAGGAGGTTCGCTGAGCCTCTTTGCTCACAACAACCCAAAAATAAATCTGGAGCTCCCAGGGTTGGAGTTGCTCCTCTTTCTGTTCTGTAACACAGCAGAGCGCGCTGACAGACAGAGACTTATCAATGTTTAGATTTTATTTTAATCCATCTGCCTACAGATTAATAACTCCCATAAAGCCCCTCAGTATCTTTGTAAATCTGCATTGCATCAGCTGAACCCGCTGCAGCCCCCCAGCGCAGAGTATCGACGGCTGCGTCTGAAGCTACAGCGCGATCCGCCATATTGATTCTCCTCTGTCACATAAATGCTGATTGGGCGACTTCTGGAGCGCCTGAAGAGACGACCATCGATCCCTGAACTTAAAAAAAAGAAAACAACCTTCAACCTGAAGATTTATTGCCAAATGTATTTTGTTTTTTTTTGTTTGTTTTTTTTGTCTATAGGCAACAAACGGAGCTTAAATAAAAATGGTTAAAGGGACGTTCTGTCAAAATTTTCACCACATCTGAATGAAAATTTCTGCTTTGGATGCAAAAACGATATTTAATTTTAATAGTTTGCATTCCTATGTGAGACAAAATCTTCTGAAAAGTTGATTGCAGATGCATATTTTGGTTTGAATGTTCAAGCATCCATGAAAGGAATGTTATTGCATTCAGGCAATGAGTTATTTTCATTTTTGAATGCAGTTTTACTGTATAAAAAAGATTTACTTGGATACATGAAACAGCTAAATGTGCCATTTTTTAATCTGATTAATCGTGAGAATAATCAATTAAATAATTATTTGACACCTTAATTTATATTTTAAACTCACAATTTGTTTCTAAATGTGTGTGTGTGTGTGTGTACAAGAAACAACTAAAACTTAAATAAAAATACTTAAAGGAAATTCCTGTCAAAGTTTGCACCAGATTTGAATGAAAATTTCTGTTTTGGATGCACAAAAGTTTGGATAGTTTTGAATCAAAGCCAATTTAGTGGAGTTCCTGTGTGACACAAAACAACCAAATGAAAACTTGTGCAAAGTGAAATAACCTTCACATCAACAATTTAAAGCTAAATTAGTGTTAAGATGGAGGTCTAATCAAATTTGTAGATAAAAAAAAAGAAAAATCAAGCAGAGCTCTTCTTCTGGAAATGCATAAATCCTTCCAAAAATCTAGAAAATAATTACCAGAAGTTGCATCTTTCCAACTAATGTGCATATTTTGTTCTTTGCTATGTAAAATCTACATTAAAAGAGTATAAATGACTAAACAGCTGCAGCAAAAACCTGCTTGACTCGATTTAGAGGTAAAAACTTCAAACTGTATGTTTAAAGTAAGAGGAAAGAGAACATGCAAAATATTAAATAATTTCAAATTAAGTTTTTCAGCTCAGTTATCAGATCAGGTGTTTTTTATTGTTGATTTAGCCAAATTAAAGATTTTTCTATTTGATTTTGTTGGACCTATAAGTTAAAGTTCAACCAAAACCTGTTTTAAATTGGGTCATGTTGAGTTGGGATTTTTTCTTCCACAAAAAATATCCAGGTGCTTCTGTCCCACCCTGAAGAAAAAAAAATACTGCCAACTCTGCTTTGTGGTAATCTGAGTTGATGACATCACAAGAGACAAGAATGGACCTGATCAGTCTACATTAATCAAAGAAATTAACTTATTTCTTACTTTTCCCCTGTTAAAAATGTGTTTGAAACTTATTTAAAATCCGTTCTTCTGTTTGCTGGAGATTAACAGAACACAGTTAAAACCATTAGAAGCAAATATTTTATAAAGAAAAAATATGAATAATGGTGAAAAAAGGTGCAAACTTTAAAAGAGTTAGATACATTGCCTTATGTGATGTCATCACAACGTGGACACATTTTCGGGTCATTTATACACATCGATTCATGTTTTTATGTTTTAAAAAAGCAAAAATAAACAGAAATGCGGATCTTGACATGTTTTATAGGTTATAAGCTGCATCTAGAAAGAGTCTGGTCAGTTTTCTATCAGAGTCATACTGGCAGCTTTAAAATGTGACTTTCTGAAAGGTTTAGTTTTGAGGTTCTCCAACTTTCAGACTCCAAACTAAAACACAAGAGAAGCAATGAGAGGGAAAAGCCATATGCAGATATCCAGGTGAGAAGGCTTACCTGTTTAACTCCGCGCTGGCGGAACAAACCAAACTGAATCCTCCAGCAGCCTCAAGCTCTTCTTATTTAGCCGTAAAACGTCGATATTCGCCTTAAAGCACGCCGCCTGGCTTCTGAATTCACACCTCCACAAACTGCGACATCCTGCAGGTTTTACTCCGTCGACAGTCGGCCCCCTTCAGCCATTTATGCCGACCTCAAACCTCCTGATCCGGCGACAGAACTGCGGACTTTTCCTCTTCGCTCCGGTTTAAAATAGAAAAAGAGTCGAATTTTATGCTTCCTACGGAGGTAAAAGAAGTTTGTTTTCGTCACAGGGGAATTAAATGTTGCTTCCCCTGCTGATAGTGAGCGTCTACCCCCTCCGAGCCTGCTGGCGTTTCTGTAATCAGATGCTGCTCACCACAATATCCATTCATCCTATTACAGAGCTTAACCCTTCACTGACTGCTGCAGGGTTTAATGCTGCCTTACAGGACCGTAGGAATTTTCACTTCTCTGAGCGTTGTTTTTAATTAAAGAGGGACAACAATATGATATAAGGTTTCACTTCACAAAAATATAATCTCCAAATAACTAATTTAAGTGCAATCAAACCATAGTCATTTTCAAGTCCATGTGTATGGAGCTAAATTGGGGCAATAAAGTTTGTTCAAAAGAAAAAAAATAGTTATGAAACTGAAAAAATATTTTGAAATCGAAATACAAGATTTGAAACTGGAAAAAGAAATCAGCAAAAAAGTTTTGACAGAAAAGCAATTTAACCAAAAAAAACGTTTCGAAGCTGAAAAAACTGTGACTGAAAAATATTTTGAAAGCAAAGGTTTGAAACTAGGAAAAAAACTGTTCAAAAGTACTTTTCAGATTCAAGTATTTTTTTTCTTTTCAAAAACGTTTATAGCCCCAATTTAGCTCCGTACAAGCGTTCAGTCTCAACTATAAATGCAATTCCATACAATAGTGACACAGTCTCTGAAAAATACAGCAAATATTTATTGCAGCATATTGTTTGAAACTACAAAAATGAAACTGGATTTATAACCTGCATATGTTCATTTCTTCTTTATTAATTTTTAGTCTGGCATTTCTCCTGACACAATAATACAAAAGGAACACAAATTAGGCAGAAAAGGCGGGAGTTTCCATATAAACCGGTGAATAAACAATTTCAGTATCTCTTGTTCTCATCGTTGTATCAGAGCTAACAGAGGTTGAGCTAACATGTTGGGTTTTCTGGAAGAAATTTTTGAAACCCCTCAAAATTTCTACCATAACTTTCAAGATTTAGTTATGTATTTATAAACACAAAATAGTGTGTTTTGAAGCTATTCTATCATCACTTTTCCCAAATTTCTTCATAAATCGTTAGAAGCCATCTCAGGATTAGGTATTTATCAACTGCAAAAACTAAAAGAAAAATAAAAGTTTAAGTCACGTTGACCATCAGTTGTTTGTGAACATTTTTGGTTTACCAAAACAAGATAATTTAGTTTTATATTCTGTTTATAAATGTCCAAAATGGATCTCCAGAAAGCAAAGGACAATAAAACTTAATTAAACTCTTAAATAAAATAAAAACTTGACATCTTTAGCTGTGAAAATGTTGGCTAATATTAAGGAAAATGTATTGGTCAGTCGTTGTTTGAACCATTATTTAAAAAAGGATGTCGTTGGTTTAGTGTCTTGAACAACAGCGCCATCCACAGAGCAAAACCATTACTAGACTTTTCTTTAAATCAGACAACATTGACTTTTATATGAAGGGATTTTATTATTGCGTGAAGTCATTTTAACAATACCCTTCATTCTCGCTATAGAGCTGCAAATACAGTAGATTTTTACTTCACATTCATTAACATAAAGGGCATTTAAATCTCACATAAATCTCTAATTTCATTTAAATTCAACATAAAAAAGACATTTTTACAGAAAAATATCTCCAGTTGGTCACAGCTGAGTCTCCCTCATCACAGACTTTGATAACAGTCATTACGGCTGGATTAAAATGGACAGCCATGTTGCAGTTTGTAGACCAGGGCCTAAGAAATCCTCCTTGTCATCATCGTTCCTCTGCCAGCAGCGATCTGAAGGTCTTCAGCTCTCTGATGCTCGTGGAAATCCTGAGAACATTTTCCAAACATTTATAAAGAAGTGTGAAGAAACCAGTTTGGTTTTACGTTTCAAGAACTTTCTGGAAAGCACATTTAAAGGGGACCCATTATGCAAAATTTACTTTATGCACGTTTTTGTTGCTTCGTTTGTGTCTCAACTGTTTGTAGAAACAAAGCCATAAAAAAAAACATGCATCCGTTTTTTGGTGTCTGGAAAATGAGCCGTTTCAAAAACCATTGGAATGTTGCGTCAGAATTGACTGGCACTGCGCCGTTACCTAGCAACACCAGCCTGTTACCTAGCAACCCAAAGGGAGTGGAGTTGGGGGGCGTGGCCAGAAGCAGCTCATTTGTTTTTAAAGTGACAGAACCCAAAAAGAGCACACTCTGAAAGGATAACTCATCATCTAAAAACGATTTTGAGTAGAATCAGATGTTTCGTATCGCTCATAAACTTGTTCTAACTTGTTCAAGGAAGCATAATAGGTCCCCTTTAGGTCGATAAAAGATATTTTATTATGAAGGCGACAGATTCCCACCTTCCGAAGGCGTTGAGGAGGGAGACGACTTCCTGCCGGTTGAGCTGGAAACTGGGTCGTTGCTCTGTGGACTGGGGCAGCGCTTCAATCTGTCGCTCAGAAAACAGGATCTTCAGAGCCGTACCTAATCCCTGAGTCTGGCCGAGAGACACAGAGAAAAACAGGGAACAGACATGACGCTCAATTTTTTCACATGCAGAGAAAAAGGATTTTTTCTGAAACAAAACTTCCAAGTCGAGTCAAAATTTGTGTTTTTGAACAGCCATTGGTGTTCATCATACATTCTTTACATATTTTTTTTTACCTAAATACTGAAAAACTCTGGTTCTCAAAGCTTTTATTCGATTGTTTCATGATTTATTCATATATATATATATATATATATATATGTGTGTGTGTGTGTGTGTGTGTCATGGAAATAAATATTCATAAATAATTACATATGATTTTTGAAATCTAAAGTAATCTTTTGATCCAAAGTTGTGCATAATCAAAATACAAGCACATAATTTACTTTTTGTCTCATACAAACATATTAGCATTACTGCTAATACAAAAAGCTGCCTGTATCAAAACGAAAGCATAAAACCTCCAGGAGGCTCGACGTGTCACAACCTGACATTAAATCTAACCCTGAGTTAATCTGCTGCATTGTTAACATTATTTAAATATTCTGCTACATTGTTGTAAGAATCGTGCAACAGTTGCATCAGAATCATAAAACTGACCTTTCAGATAACAGAAACTAACGTTTTGTTTCTTTTCTAATGACGACTCCAAATGTTTTCCAGCTAAAAGTTTCCCTTTTAGAAACAATCCTTCTCTTCTTAAAAGGAGAAACAACTAAATTTAGATTTTTATTTTATTTTCTATGCAAAATACAATACACCAACGTTACGTTACGATACAGGATTTACCCTATTTTAAACTAGAAACTAAATGTAATTATTTAAAATATACTTTGTGAAAATACCTATCAAAGATCCTTTGGTCACTGAAGTTCTCATTTTAAAAATGAAATGTACGCATTTTAAGCTCGAGCGCACCTGTACTTTTCCCCAGACACGACATTTAAAGCAGCCGACGCAGTCCATGATCCTGGAGATGTTGAGAAACGCCAGCCTGATGTCCTCCTGGTTGAACAAGAGAAAATTCACAAGGTCAACAATTAAATAGATGAATTCATAGCAACATAAAAAAAAAAAAAAAAAAAATCATATATATATATGTGTGTGTGTGTGTGTGTGTGTGTGTGTGTGAGTGCATAAAACTTATGCACAAGTGAGTGTGTGGGAATTGCAGTATTTTTGTCTCTCATAAAGTTGTAATACAAAGAGCTCCCTCTGCTGGCCAAAACTAACGCAACAAGATTTCTGATCCAATGTGATGTTTTATGGATTATTTTCCAACACATTTTCCACATTTAAGAATTTAAAAAATGATCTTATATTCTTAGGAGTATAAAAATGCACTGAAATGTTTAATTGTTTCTCACCTTCAGTTGTGCCGCTTCTTTTTCATCTCCAGCAAACAGAGAAGTCTCATCAAAGTGCAGAGGAAAAGATCTGGAAGATTAAACAGGAACAAAAATAATTGCTGCAAACAAAAAGAGTCATAACACTCACATAATCTCTCAGTGTTGCTTCTAATCAACAGAGAAACTACAAACATGAGGCTGTAGGACTCACTGATGCAGTTTTATCTCACATTCCATGTTAAACTGGTAAAACTCAATCAAAACATTGAGATTTTTCAGCGTAGAAGCATCCATCTTACTTATAACTATAAGTTCTGACCCAAATATTCAACCAGAGTCAGCTGATCTGCTGGATGGCAGCTAAACTACAACATTAAAAAAAGGTCTAAATGGACGTTATTGGAGCTAATTTTAGACTAATGAACCATTAATCAACAATGAATATTAAACCAGTTAACTGCAGACTGACTTGGCCAGATTTAGGATCTCTAGAAGCAGCTCTTTGTATTTCTGGTCCTCCTCTGGTCGACCCGTGTACAACTGGAAGGACGGCTGACTGAAGAACGGCAGAACTTTGGCCAGCGCTCTCAGCTCTATCAGGTACAGGAAGTAGAGGTTGCGGAGCCTCTTGGGGCCTTCGCCAGCCGTCAGATCAGAGTCGAAGCGCTGCCTGAACTCAGACACATTGTGGCCCCACTTCCTCTGAAACCAAGTGTCTGAAGAGGAAGAAGAGGAGGGTTAAAAAAAACCCATCACAAACAGGGAAATCCAGGAGAGTTAGCATGTCTCACCGTCCAGGAGGTACCGTGCGCTCAGATGAACGTTGATGCTGGCGTGGAGACCAGATATCAGACGGTAGAAAGCTCTCTTCTCCACACACTGACCTGAGACAGGAAACAAGCCAACAATAAAGAAACTGGAAAACACATCTGATGCTGTTCCAGGTCAGGTGGAAACAAAGCTTACCTTCCAGCCAGCTGTAGAAAGTCAGTGCTGTGAAGGATACCAGATTGTGAAAACTTCAACAACAAAGCCATCAGTGACTTCTTATGCTTCCTACAACATGTTAGGATACAAAACATGCTTACTAAATTTTGTGCACTAAATTATTCTTAGATAATGACATTTTCTCCTATTTTAGCTCCTTTTAGAATGAGCTGATTTAGGATCTTATTTATTTCATTTGTAAGAACTGAAAATACATTTATATTGTTTTTTTTAGTTTTTTTATATTTTCAGTGGGGTGTATTTTATTACTGTGCTGCTATAACAAGTGAATTTCCCCACTGT